GAGCAGAGCCCGCGGCGGCCTGGCCGCGGCTCCGGCTCTATCTCTGTCCCTCTCAGGACGAGGTGGTGTAAGGGGGAGAAGGCCAAGTCAGTCCCTATCTCTGCCTCACAGCTTTTATTGCCTCCCCTTTATGCACTTAGGGCAGAGAAGAAGGGTAGTGAGGCCCTGGAACACGTTGCCCAGAGGGGTTGTGGGTGCCCCAATGCTGGCAGTGTTCAAAGCTTTGAGAAACCTGGTCTGGTAGGACGCGCCCCTGCCCGTGGCACGGGGTTTGGGACTGGTTGATATTTAAGGTCTGCTCAGACCCTTAACATTGTGTGAATCTAAGGCGCGCTCCTGTGGTTATTCCTGTTATCGTTGCTGTTTGCAGCGAGTGCCCAGAGCCCGGGGTTTGCGGGGTGTCGCTGGCTGGGAGGTTTGGTGCTGACTGTCCCTAGCAGAGGTGGGATGGGACAGCCGCGGGGACGTGCCGGTACCTGGATGTGCTGGAGCCTTCAGGCGCCTTTGGCCAGTGCTGGAGCTCTTAAATCTCACCTTCGGGCCTCCTGAATGCATTTTTTCCCCCCCTCCCCAGATGTCTACGTGAATACTGTGTCCTTACGCGTTTGTTGTGGCGTGTCTGCGGCACAAAACCAAGCCAAAACTGAGTAACAAAGAGCCCAACTTATCCCTGGTCGTGGCGCTCCCTCTGCCGACAGTCACCGCTCAGCTCTGCCCGGCTGCCAGGTACTTTCGTTTGCGGAAGCGGCTTCTACAGTAAATAAGCTTCGTGCATTGCATTAAAGCTTTACATTTACCTTTGTAGCAACTTCAGGCCGATTTTGTGACCTTAGCTCGTACTGCAAGGGGAAACTGTTTTCAATGTGTATTTTCAGGAGCTACTTTTTAAAAATACTTGTTGTAAAACTAGGTGGTAACAGTAATGAATGCAGCAGTGGATTAACCCTTTTTCTTTTGCAGTCGTATTGGCCTTTCTAAAGGAGGTGTGAGATCCTAGGAAATGAAGTTTCCTACTTCTATACAGTTGGGTGTGATTCCTTTATTCAGTAATCAGGGCAGACTTGGTTTCTGTGCCTGCTGAGCTGAGCCACTGGTAATGGTGCAACAGACAAGACAGAGAGTTTAGACCTGGTTCAGACAGAGACAAAAGAAGTATTCTGCTGTCTCAGCTGTGCTGGTAGTAGTGTTTAAGATGCCTTCAGGAGCTGGTGATTCTGGCAAGCATGACACAGCATGTCAGGAGGGTCTTCAGCTTCTTGAGCAGCAGGTGAAGGGCTGAGTATTGTGGGATAAGTCATCTCTGCCAGTGTTACATGCTATTTAGACAGCTGAATCACCCCTCAGTTGTCCCTTGTTCAGGGGTTATGAAAAGATAAAAAATAGTCTCTCGGCTTCAGTTTCTGTGCTATTTTGACAAAGATTATGGCATGACTTCTTTGCTTTGGCCTGGGGAGTGTGGGTGTTTGTGAGGACCTAACTAAAGGCTGGACTAAACTCAGAGCTGCTTTCCCCAGAGATCAGATGAAGTCTTCCATAATGCAGAGGTGTAGATGTTATGGGAGAGGCCTGACCCTTTCAGTTTGAAGTCCTTTGTTCTGCAGGCTGTATGGCAGTGGTCTGACTGGTATGGGTGATGTGCATAGCCTCCATGAGTTTCCATCTGAATCCAATTTGCATAGTTTCAAAGTATTAACCTGTTCTGTATTTTTGCCCTCTTTCTGTAAACTCACCAAGTCAAAGATGTGTCAGTTTCCTGTGAAGTAGTTTGGGTCTATCTGAAACCCTCTGCAGAGGAGCCTGCACATGTATAGGCTGTAAAGACGTGGGCCTTTTTCACCTGTGTGTGGCAAATAAAGTGGGAGAAGCCAAGCATTTTGCACCCAGTTGTGTAGATGGTGATGCTTAGGGACATAGTGTTTAGGGTGGACTTGGCAGTTCTGGATTAACAGTTGAACTCAATCTTAAAGGTATTTTTAAACCTTAATGATTTTGTGATTCTATGGAATTCTGTAATTGCAGAGCTTGGTTATAGTAAGCTTGCTGAAGGAGCCTGGAAATCAGCTGAACCTTGGTAAGGGTAACCCATTAGATGCACTTAGGAGAATTTACTTAATAAAAACTTTTTGTGCTTGTTTTCATGAGGCTTTTATTTTTCCCCTCTCAATTACCTTGTCTTCTAATTATCTTATGCTTTTGGGTGTTGGTTTTTTAGTTTTATTTTTTGTGTGTATGTCTCTCACTGTGATTTTTGTTTTTTGTTTAAGCAAGTTTGAGATTTTTTGATCATTATTTAACTAATGAAGGTTAAGAGGACCACTGCTCTCTGTGTGTTTAACACTGTTGATTAAGTGAAGAATCTTTTTTTGAACTGTTTTGAGCTATTTGCCTTTATAGGGAAGACTGTTGTTTTCAAGCATTAGCTGTGGCCTGTTTATAAGTGTGCCATCAGGATGGGGAAATGATTATTTAAGAAGATTCCAAGAGTTTGAGGAAGGAAAGGAAAAAAATCAGAGTAATATAATAGGCAAAAATCCCTTAATGAGCACTATTGCTTTAAAGGGAAGTGGTAGACAGTTCCTAACAAATCTGTAATAAAATTAATTTTGCAGAGATCAAGATTAATTCTATAACCCATTGATCTCTTCAGCCTCTACACTTAATTTCTGAAGCCACGTGAAATAATTACTTTAGTAGTCTTCTCCTTTTTCTGACACTCTGCCCTGTTTCAGTTTTTACTTGTGAGATTTTTGTCTCATGCATTTTGCCTGCACTGCATGTGAGCATGGTTGTGCTTGAATTCTAAGAGATCCAAGGAAATGTCAAGAGTCTAATGATGGTAGGATGGATTTCAGTGCTGAGTAATTTATTAAGTGTTTTTTGGTTTTTGGGGTGTTTTTTGGTTAGGCTCAGATATAAATGTGATCTTTATGTGGTCAGATATGTAAAAGCTTGAATAATGCCAGAAAATCAGGGTTCAAACTGTTGTGGCCTTGCGTGTGCCACCTCAAACTTGATAGCAGGCATCAGAAACCACATCAGGAGAGAATTGTTGATGCCCACCATGCCAGCAACTTGCTACATTTGCTTAAAATTGTTGTTGACAAGGGTTTCAATTCATTTAACACCTCTGTAAAATTGTGTTTGAGAATGGAAGAGGATGAATGGTAGGAGGATGAACTAGTAAGTGGAAATGATCCTGCTCCTTTTTGGAGGATTAGAATATTTTATTTCCACAGAGTGCTTTTGTCATTCTGATTCTCTTTAAAGATTTTTCTCGTGCAGTGCAGTTAAAAGTTGTGCAGGTTGATTATGGTAACACTGCAGCAATCACAGGGAATACATACTTAGAGCTCCTGTGCAACACTTCAGTATTTTAGAACAATTTTACTAGCATGTCAGTGCTCATTTAAAACAAAATTTCTGCTAAGTCATTCACCACAAAGTTACAGTGAATACGAATATGAGGGGTTTTTTGCCTTTACCATTTTTTGTGGTGCAATGTCATATTACCATGATTGTGTCTGCAGTTTAGGTATTGGGAAACAGCTCTGCAGTCATGCAAGCTAGAAGGCTTGAGTGACTGTTGGGGCAGTTGAGAGAGTTAAATAATTACATATAGAGATCATTGACCTAGTTTTGTTTTGTTTTTTTCCTTAAAAATAACTGAAACAAAACCATTTTTTGACAGGAAAAGAAGATGGAAGGATTGTTGTCAGGTCTATGATGATAAAATAATGGAATAGGACAGACTGTTGGATTGTCCAGCTATACTGTTAGGAGGTTTTTTTGGCAAAGAAGAGAAGATACCTCTAAAATACAGGTAAGGGGTTATATTACAGGAAGAGATAAAGTTAAAGTCAAGCTGCATCAATGTCTGGGAGTTTTGTCATAATCTTGCATGAGATCTGGACTCCTCCCTTGGATTTAAAAGAAGTAGAAAAAAGAAAGGAAAAGCATGTAGGCTCAGAGAAATTATCTCAATATGGTGTTAGAACAAAAGTGGCAAAAGATGCAGCAAAATCTGGAGAATGCCAGTGACCTTTAAGTACTCACTGGTTGGTAAATGCTGTGTTGCCATGAAATTCAGTAGTTTATAGATATATATATATATATATGTGTGTGTGTGTGTACACAGTTTTCTGTTTCTTCTCACCACAGAAAAGTGATTTGCATTAAGTTTGGGAGATGTGGTAAATGATGTGGAGCATCCTAGTTGCTTGCTCTAGGATATCTAAGTATTGCACACATTTTTCTACCCTCAAGAAAGGCAAGTTTGGCCAAATGTCACACTTAATTGCAATTAGGTAAAAGGAGCCAAATGTTTCATGAATCATTTCATTTTTGGGAGAGATCCTTTTCAAACAGGAAACTCACTGTGTTGTTATTTCTGCTTTCCAGAACACCAGTATGGAAGTTAAAATCAGTGAAGATCATTTGAAAGCCCAGAAAATGAAGAAGAAGGTATTGAGGAAGCAGGTCAGAGCTCAGCATACATTGATGAGACATGAGGGCATAAAGTGCATCTCCCATGCCACGCAGGTGACTGGTAGTTGTGATTTTGATGTTAGTGTTAAAATGCTGCTTTTCTGTGTTCTATTCTCACATGTGTCTTGTGTAAAATGCAGTTCTTAAAAATGCACTTCCTGAGATTGAGGGTTTTCTGTACTTCTTTGATTTCAAAGCAGAATTGTACTTCAGCAGTTCAGTGTCTATGGAGAGACTTTGATGGCCTTTGGATAAGGTTTTTTTAACCTGAAACAGTAGTTACTTGGGTTGAGGAGGAGGAGGAGGAAGCATTGGAAATGCTATGAAGTACATATATTTCTCTTTGTTTGTTGTTTCTCTTTTTTTTCTCAGGCTTCTAACTTCTGTACCTTTATATCCTCCATAGTTTTCTGTCAAGTGTAATTTGTCTCATCAAAGCTTCCCATTAAAAACATGTCTATCTTGGAAATCTTTCCCATTTTGGTTTCTTCCTCTAAACAAATTATGGCTGTGGTTCTGTGGGAATCGAACGGGTGGGCTGATTTGCAGCTGTTTAAATCAGGACAGCTTTCTCTTTCCTGACAGAAAAGAGACTTAGAAAGCTACATAGATTTTTGATTTGTAGTGTTCTGCCACAGTAGAGTTACGGCAGATCATAGAATGATCTCACAGAATCTGATGTAGCAGAAAGTGACAGGAACTTGCAGACAGAGAGGGAAGTTAAGAGTTTCTAATTTCCCTCTCTCATTTATGAAGAAATACAAATGGCTTGAAACACTGTAGAGCAGTATCATTTACCCTGTACTTGTTCATCCTGATTCTGCAAATTCTTTCCATTCATATATGGAAGCATTAGTTAGATCTTTATACATTTTGTAATAAAATCTGGTTTAATTTTCTGTTCAGATTTCACACCACACAGAGAGATGTTAATGACTCTGCCATCTTGTTTATATTGTAAATTCTTTAGAACAAAGACTGTGTTTTTCAAGTGTTGCTTGGAAATGGGTCTGTGATTTGGGACTTGTTCCACTTGAAACTGTCCCAAGTACCAAATTATCCATCTAATCTATCCAAAGAGTAATTTTGGGGTCCAGCAAGGTTCTTACTGGTGACATAATATTGGAATAAGTGATATATGAAATAAAATCAAAGTGCTAGTTGTAAACTTGTGTCAGGAATCTAGAAAATACTTCCAGGCTTTGTGCAAGAGTCTGACTATCCCTAAATTACATCATCTGTTGCTGCATGTGCTGCAGCAGTTGTGTACTGGGGTCTTTGTAGATCAAGTGAAAGGAGTGGTTTGAACCTCTGCATGTCCTTCACACACATGGGTCTCTCCATCAATAACATTCTAGAAAACTGCAATAATTAATAATGAGGTAAACTTTGAAAAATATGATCTGTTCCATAGCGCAGATGTTAACAGAGCCTTCACAATAGGCATAATCACAGCAGTGCTCATATAATTATTTTTTTTTAATGACCCTTATCTTTGGTTCTAAACCTCATTTTCTGTTTTTTGTTTTTTTACGGAAGTGTGATTCTGTCATTTGAAATAATTGAACACTTTTCCCAGCTGTTCCAGAAACCTCCAAAATTATGTGTGCCAGTGCCACTGTTTGCTTGCAGTACACTTGATGCAGACATGCTGCTTCAAAGCATGCATTAACTGAGGAGGTGTTTCTGATAGAGGTTGCAAGGCTTCCAGCCAGACTTATGTGCTGGGCAATCAAAGGTTGCATTAGCCTTGTATAACAAGCTCATGGAAATGTAAATATCTTGTTCAGAATACATAAGAGTGCTCATGGGTTTAATTGTTCTTTATAATGCTGTTCTCTTGCTAAAATGTTAGTTTTAAATGAACCAACAATAATCACTAATTCTTTTGTTTTTTAATTCTTTTTCAATTAGAGCCTGGTTATTGCCAATGCTGGTCTTGGTAATGGGATGAGTAGACAGCAATTGCTCAGGATACTCGAAGAATATGGAGCAATGGAAACACTCTTAATGCCACCAAATAAACCATATTCATTTGTGAAATATAGGACAACAGAGGAAGCCATGAAAGCCTTTAATGCCCTTAATGGAAAGGAAGTAACACTGGAAGACTGTGGCCAGAACATTGTTCTGTATATTAATTTTGTGGAAAAAGGTACAGTTTTTCTCCTCTCCTATATATCCAGCTTCCTGCATACTGCTCCCTTTTGCTTTTACTTCCTGGGTTGTAAATGTAGGTAAAAGCACAGTAGTTTTTGTAAGTAGGTACAGAGAATGAAAGCTAGAATCTGAGATTCAGGACATAAAATAATTTCTGCTCCTTGTATTCCACGTTAGAATACTCTAATTTCAACTCTATTACTTGGAAACAAAAGGGAAAAAAAGATTTGAGTAATTTCCTAACCATTCAGTACTTCACATGAAGATTTTGTGATTAAGGAATCTGGAAAATGAACTCTGGACAGTTCATTGGATTTCTTGTGTGACCCTAGTCTTGCGGTCTCTATCTCAGCTCCAAGAAAACAAAAAGTCCCAATGAAATTTGTCTTTTTTTTTTTTTTTCTGTTCTCCCCAATTTTTTTTATTTTATTTGGTTTTGGCTGATTATAAGCTATTTACTGCAAAAACTGTTGCTCTTTCTGTGAGCTTTCATGGTGTCTAGCAAAAAGGGTTCCTGGTGTTGGTCTGGCAGGTTTTTTTTGCTCTCTTAGGATAGCAAACTGAATGTCCCAACATCAGTGATGTTTTATGTTCACCTGTCTATTGTTCTGTACTCCATGTTTGTACATATTTGATTACAGAGTATTCTCTGTATATGGAAGAAATCTTCTGATATGGTAAATCACTAAAATTCTACGTAATTAAAATGCAAATCAGTTAGAACCTTTAAGTGGTTTGGAAATTCTGTTTACCATGATTTTCCAGGAAAACCACAAGTGGCTTTGTGTTTGAATAGTGTAAAGTCTTGCTTGTCTTATGCAGTAAAATTTTTAGAAAACGCTCAAATGATGGAAGACTTGGGCCTTACTCTGTTTTGTCATGACAAAAAGGGATCATTTTTTCTCCAAAAAAGACCACAACGAGGGCTCCATTAAACATTTCTACAGCTGGACTATATTCTCATACAAAGTAATTATATCCCCTTAGGGATGACAGATTTTATTTTCTCTAAAGACTGACAAAATTCTCTTCTTTTCATATACCTCAGTTGCCTTGCAAAGTGCTGTTCCTACAAGCTTGCCGCCAGGCTTAATGGTAATTGAAAAGATTATTTCTCCAGAGGAAGAAAGGAGGATGTTGGAAAGTATTGACTGGAAAGGAGATGAAGATACTCAGAATGGTGGGTCCAACTATAGGAATCTAGACATTCTATACTTTTGCACTGTTTTTTTTTGCTGCAGTTTCAGGTTACAGGAAGTCTACATCTTGGTAAATGTATTATCAGAAATGATTCTGTTTTTTTTCTTAACATTTTAGAAATTGGGTCTTATACTGCAAGTGATGAGCTCCTTGGGGCAAGTGATTTGAATTGATATTCTAGAATGGATTTACTTGAGTGACAAACCTGCATCCAGAGACAATTAAAGTCTTTTTTATCTTGTGTCTTGTGCCAAGCACAGGACTGTTTGTAATTTGATGTCCAGCTGAAGAGCTGTGTCTTCTTTTATGTAACAAAAATAACTTAGTTAATGCTTTCTGGATGCTTTCATGCTTTGACTTCAGCTTGTGGAGTTAAATCCTTCAATAAATGAATTCTTGGAAATCACTTCAGAGTTCCTGTGTACATTTGCTCTGTGGAGCAATGCAAAAGGTTATGTTGACCTTAGCTAATGTGTAACTTGGTGATTAATGAGAATGATGGATCTTGATGAATCGGTAGGATATTCATCAGGTATAAATTCAGAGATCAGGGCAAGAAAAAGATGCATTAAACATGGCTCAAAAAAATTTGTATTCCCTGCTTCTTGCATATACAAAACCACCATCTCTTTGACTCAAAACAGCAGTGAATGTGATGCCTGATGAATTACAAAAGATAATAAGCAGAAGTGTGTGCATTAAGAATGAGGGTCATACACTGTTTTAACTGCAAATTAAAGAATGGTTAGGTTTAACAGGTAGGATGGAATAGGGAAACATAAATTGCCTCAATGTTTGATGTTTTATGTAGTCTAATCTTACTGTAAAGTTATGTGTTCTTACAGCCCAGAAGACTTTAAAGCATAGAAGAGTAAAGCATTTTGGATATGAGTTTCGCTATGATAACAATAATGTTGATAAGGACAAACCATTACCTGGAGGTGAGAACTTCCCTATTAAACTGTACTTATTTTGCACTGATGTTTGAACCATTCTGTAAAGCCTATAAGTGTTGGTGAGTTATGGCTGTGAGAGTGGTTAAATGAGAGCTTTTGCTGTATATTAACCATACACAAAAGTGCTTTTGAATTTTGAGATTCATTCCAAATTATTGTTAGTGCTTTAAGCTTGCTGTCCAGCCACTTGGAGCCAGAGGTTGTTGCCCTTTGTTGAGGTCTGGTAAAATACGGCTTTTAGGATTGTAATTGTTCTTCCATTTTAGCTTTTTGTTCCATAAAACAATTATGTCTTACAAATTGCATATTAATTTATTTGGGGGATGTGACGTATATTGCTGTATATATTTATCTCAACCAGCTCGAAGCATTCTGGATGCACGCTGAAATAAAATTTCCTTTGCTCTGAAAGCAATTTTGTAAAGGTTTCAATAACTCATATTTGGAGTTGAAAGCTGTGAGTCAGAGCAAAGCAAGTGAGTCATCTTACAGACGTAGATTTAAAAATAGTAAAATAGGAGAGTTAAATTCCTGTAAAACTTGAAGGTGTTTAAGGTGATGCATGTGTGTTGGGGTGGATGTAGCATGCAACAGAAGGATTCTGGTTATATTAAGATTTTAACTGTGAAGCTATATCATTGTAAGAGGATTGATCTGTGAATTGTTTTCTAGTCTCACAGACTATTTTATGTGTGAGAAAAGCATAAACACTCCTTGTGAGAAAACAAGAATAAAGATTAGTAGATTCATGGAAGGGATAGTAGTAACATGTTTGTTGGTGTTATCTTCAGCAGAATTTTTCAGTCAAATCCTCAGGTAAAATATCAAACCAAAGCTTCAGTGGAGGACTATATCTTCCATTCCTGTTTCAAGACAAGCTTAAATTCAGCAGATTTTTTGGTGGTATTTTAATCTAATTCAGTAACAGATTTCCAGGGAATAAATTTTTTAGAGAGCTCTCTGCACAACTGACTCTCTGCATAATAATTTTGCTTCTTGACTGCAACTTTTTTATTGTAATTGGTGCAGACTTTGCCCCTGATTTGATGTGGTTTTATTTATGTGTAGAGATAGTACATTTTGCATTTGTAAGGAGTAATCTGCTTCTGAATGCAGAGGCCTTGGAAAAGTGGCCTTTCTAATTTTGAGATCTTAAAAATGTATCAGACTTGAAGATTAGGCCCCCAATTCTGATGTGTGTGTTAGCAGCAGATGAAGAGTAATCATCATTAAAGATGGACTTGCATGTATATGAAGCTACTTCTATGCATTTTCCTAATTATATTTGTTGTAAAAAGCTGTCCTGTCTTGTTTACAGTTCTGTTTCTATAACTAGGTCTTCCTGAAATTTGCAACCCATTCTTGGAGAAGTGCTTAAAGCAGGGATATATCAAACATAAACCTGATCAACTGACTGTAAATCAGTATGAGCCTGGACAAGGTAAGTTTATTTGTCCCTCAAAAATTCTGAGCTCTTTGTTTTACATAGTGGTTTAACCCTGGTAGGTAACTAAGCACCCACCATGCAGTTGCTTGCTCACTCCCCTCGCTGAGGTAGAGGAGAGAATTGGAAGATAAAAGTGAGAATACTCATGGGTTGAGATCAAGACAGTTTAGTAAGTAAAAAAAAAAAAAAGAAAAAGGCAAAACAAAGGAAGACAAGTGATGTAAAAAAAAAAAAAATATCCTTGGCTACTGGCCAATCAGTATTCAGCCAGTCCCTGCTTAATGACATCCCTGGTAAACTTCATCCTTAGTGTCATTACTGAGCATGATGCCATATAATCATATGGAATATTCTTTTTGGTCAGTTGGGGTCAGTTGTCCCAGCTGTGTCCCCAGCTTCTTGTGCACCCCCAGCTGACTTGCTGGCAGGGAAACATGAGAACCATGAAAGACCTTGATGCTCTGTAAACACTGCTCAGAAAGAGGTAAAACATCCATCCATGCTTTATCTACACTGCTTTCATCACAAATCCAAAGCATAGCACCATACAGGCAACTGTGGAGCAAATTAACTACATCCCAGCCAAACCAGTACAACTTCACTAAGAAGCAGGAGAGTGTAGCATCTAAGTGTGGAATGGTGTAGGGACAGGATTTAAGCACCGGCTTAGTGTATTTCTTCTATGACCAGAGATGCTTTGAATCAAATCTAAAGTCTTAATACTGATTTCTGCACATAGGAACTTGGGTTCAGAAGTGCAGTTTTTTATACCAGTATTATGGAAAACGATGGTGTTTAAGTCCAAGGCCATGATTTGAAAACTAACTATAAAAAGATATAGGAATAAATAGTCATATTTGGTTTTCTAGTTAAGTGCATTTTTTTACTCCAAACTTGTATTGCTTCCGGTAATTTGCATACAGTCTCCAGGAAATGGCTCCTGCTGTTAGTACATTTGATATAATGTTAGTGCATGTGATACATGGAGTCTTAAGTATGATGCGAGCAGTGTTCCCCTATCTTAGAAATAAGGAATTACTGTATTTTTGTAATTTTTCCCAAACTGAAGGCTTCTGAAGAAAAAGAAACCTCTAATCACACTTCTAGGGAATGAATCACATGCTGTACTTTTTGCTAAGCTTAGTCATCAAGGTTAAGTATCTGGCTTGCTTTCCAGGGTGAGTATCTCATTTGTTCTTAGGAAGAAAGAACAATGGCTTCACTCTCAGAATTAATGTCTGACAGCTATTACAGTGTCTGCTGAACAAGGGTCTGAAAAGCTGATCCTATTTGTTTATGTATCTGACAATCTGTTAAATTGATACAGTTGGGTACTTCTGGCTGGGACATCTGAGGAGATTAGTTAGAACTGTAGATTTCTATCCAGAATGGAAGCAGTTTTTTGTTTTTTTTTTTAAAAATCAAACAAAAACTCAAGCCCAAAGCAAAATACCCTTTCTTAAGTGCAAATCAATAGGATATGAATGAGCACAGAGCACAGTCAGATTAATACTGTCTGCACCTTGGTTCTGAGCCATTTTTTCACTGGAAATTACACTTGAAATTTTAGAAAGTGAGTTATGGCTATCAGTATCTAAGCTGGAGAGGCCACACATGAGATGCATTAAACGAGGTGGGTAGATCAGTGTGGTCGTGGTTGAATTACTGGTGACAGTGTGGAGAGCTGTCAATATTCTCCTGCTGCACAGTGAATTGCACAGCCTTCAGTGTGCCTCTTAAAGCAGAGCCTCAGTGCTTTGTATCAAGGCAAGCTGTAACAAACAGGTAGCTGTCTGTCCTTGGTTTTCAAGTCTCACCGATTTTCTGTCAGATTAAATGTTGGTCTCGTAAAACACTTGCATTATTTCACTGAAACTAATGGAATTCAGAATATTTACATCTGGAAGTAAAATCTGCTGTATAATAAGGGAGCTTTATAGAGCTGACTGACACTTCAGAAAAAATTGTTTTCATCTCAGGAATTCTCTACAGAACCCAAAATGAACTTGGGTATAATTTTTAATGAACAAATAAAAGTGTTTCAGTTTGGATGGTATAGGAATGACTGTCTGCCTTGGGCTGCAGTGGATCTGAGGAAGGTGCAGTTGCAGTTCTCTCAAGCTGTCTGCTGCTCTCCCTTGCTGCATTGCTGACTGCCGTTCCCCACCACGTGGTGAGATCTTGTTGTGGCATGCATACTGCTGCTAGCACTTGGTATTAAAATGTGTGACACAAGCAGGGATTAGCAGGTTTTTTCCAATTAGCAGATATGAAAGAGAATTCTAAACAGACCCTAAAAATGACTGTCCTTTTGGCAATTCTGTTATGTACGTGTGCTCATACACGCACTGACAGATGTATTAGTCAGGGGTTAGCCTAGCAGTGATGTGTGGTTGCCTAGGAAGTGCAAAGCACAGGCAGGGCTTGATCCTAACAGTGCCTTTGAGGTAGTAGGTCCTAATGCTGAAGCTGAAACCCTTAATGCAGTTATTTGCTTAGGAAATAGAGGGATTTGAGAGTACTCCTTTGTGAAGGGAGTGAGGAAGAAATATATGATTGCGGGTGAATTAAAGCCCAAAATTGCCATGTGCACCATAACTGTTGGTGCTAAGGGTTACACTGTCTACAAGGAGTCCAAAGTGTTTGAGCTGCTGTCTGCAGCAGGGAGAGCAATTTGGAGTCATCCAGGAGTGAGTGAGGCCTTGGAGTAACCAACCTGAACTATGTTCTAGGTATTTCTATTGATTATGCAAGACACTTAGGTTAAATGTGTCCATCTAACCTGGACGTGTAAATAATACAATTGCCCTGAATTCTTATAGAAGGCAATTCCCTTGTTTATGATAGGTTTTGTTTGTTCAGCCATACATCCCAGTTTTCCATATGGACATCTGTAGAAATAGAGCTTGTTAATGGAGATAGCACTCTGTTGTTGTTGTTGTTATTATTATATTGACTTTTTTGTTGTTTGTTTTTTTAAAAACAGGAATTCCCCCTCATACTGATACACATTCTGCTTTTGAAGATGAAATAATCTCTCTCAGTTTGGGAGCTGAGGTAACCTTAATGTTTGCATGTGGTCTGATGCTCTACTGAGAAGTTCCATTTTTATATTGTTAATTTGATTTTCTAGGGTGTCTGTCCACATTCATCCTAACTTAATATAAAGTATGAAAGGTGGCGTGATATGCTAATTAAATATGTAACTGCAATATGATATTTTCATTGGAAGATTTTCCAGTGATATCAAGGATTTTTAAATCTTGGCAGCCAGGTCTCCATTGGCCTTCCTTCATCTTTATTTCATGCTTTAATTTCACATATTCTGCCTCAGTACTGCAGCCCTGGGCTTTCTTATCCTTTCCATTTCAATGAAAATGCTAACTCTGGCACAGATGCTCTGTTACTTCATTGATGTAACCATAAGAAGTGAATTTCTAGGTTATTGTCTTACAGCATATCTTCATGATGGTCTCAGAGATGGCCAAAAGCAGTGATTTTAATAATGTGAAAAATAATGTCTTTCTGGGAAGTGGACTGCCTGGAGCATTTTGAAGCTGTAAAAGGTTGGAATGTATACATTTTAACCAGGGACACAGCCAGACTTGGACCATTTCTAGATATTTCAGGTGTAGGTGTTGGATTACAGCCCATTAGGTATCTCACAGATTTCAGTGCCTTTTCCTAATGGGTCATAAATACGCTCTTCAAGTGCAGGCAATCAAAGCACAGATGTAGTAAAACGAGCCAGTGGCCCATGAAATGCTGCATTATTTATGACTTTTCTTTCTAGTATTCTTACAACTTTTTATGATTTCTTTGTGGTTTTGTGCACTTAGCTCTTTATCTGATTTTAAAATGAAAATATCAGTTGCAGTAATACATGAGTTACCTATTTTAGGAGTGGAATCCCCTTCTCTATTCCCATAAAGTCTTACCACAGGCAAAATTTACACACTCTGTTAATAAATAATTGGATTTACACATACAGCATCAACCTTTGGTGTCTTTCTCTTCTTCTCTTTATTTTTCTCTCTGTAGGATGATGTTTTTCCTACCTGAATACATTAGACTCAGTGTGGTGGAAAACATGCATAAAGTCATATTTCTTGTCCTTTCTTTATTCTCCTCAACAGTAAATTGACACACATTTACATAAAAGGTACCATAAAGAAATAACCTTGCAACCAAGCTGGTTCTGTATTCTATTTTGGAAATTGGCAGACACATCAGAGGAAAAAAAGGAAGCAGAATGCCTCATTACTGAGTAATGGAAAGAGCATTTCTTTCAATTGCTGATATGCTCATCCCTCTAGTATCTGAGTTAGGCAGATTGTGATAATTAATAACTACAAGAAATGCTTTGGCTTATGAAAAAGAAGTCTGACAGAACAGAGCACTAAACACAAACACCATCCTAGCCTGGTGACTTAGTTATCACTGCAGATTCTCAAACTTCTTATATAATCTTCACAGGCCCACAGAACTGTATAGCTTGGAGGGAATGTCTTAAGATCATGTAGCCCAAGGTCCTGCTTAAGTAGGGTCAGCAAATGTAGGTTGTCCAAGACTGTGTCCAGTTGTGTTTTGAATATTTTTGCAGATGGAGACTCCAGAACCCATGTAGGCAATCTTTTGCAGTATTTAACTTACGTCACAGTAAAAATCCAAGCTGTTTCTTTGTGTTCTGATGGAATGGCATGGTTTAATGGTTTAAATTGTGCCTGTTATTTCTTGTCCTGTTGATGGACATTGTTAGGAAGAATCTGGCTCCTTTGTCTTCATTCCTTCCCATTGTTTATTTATGCACACTAATAAATGCCATCTTATCTGACTCTGAGCCATCCCTTGTCCAGGCTGATTAGTCTCAACTCTCTCAGCATCCCCTTATGTAAAGATATTCCTTAGAAATCTTTATGGCCCTGTCCTGGATTTGGTCCAATAAGTCCATGGCATTCATGCAGTGGGAAGCCCAGTCCTGTATCAGTACTGGATAGAGTACAAGAGTACAAGAGATCAGCCCCTCACCAGGGCTGATAAGTGAGGAAGGATCACCTCTCTTTACCAGCTGAGTGCTCTTCCTAATGTAAACCAAGACACTGTTGGCCTTTTTTATTTCAAGAATGCATTGGTGGCTCATGTTCAGCTTCTTGTCACCAGGAACTCAAGGTTGTTTTGGGCAAAGCTGCTTTCTAGCTTATCAACTGCTAGTGTGTAGAGATACATGAGATTATTCCCGACCAGGTGTAGGACTTTGCACTGCTGTTTGTAGAACTCTATGAGGTTCCTGTTAGCAGCAGTTGTTCAGCCTGCCCAGATCCTTCTGGATGGTGGAACAACCATCTGGTATTAGCCACTTCTCTTAGTTTTATTGTATCTGCAAATGTGCTGAATGTGTGTTCTGCCCCATCTTCCAGGTCACTAATGAAGTTGCTAAAACAGTGCTAGCCCCAGTATCAATCCCAAGAGCAGGCCACCAGTGATGTCCCCAACTGCGCTTTGTGCCACTGCCATTTTCAGTGGTACCTTGCAATCTAACTCACATTACAGAGGGTCAGTCTATTCCTCAGTGGGGAAGGAGTTTATCCAGTAACAAAGCACTCGGTACTGTTTCAGTAGAGGAATCATTGTAACTTTAATTCAAACATGCAAACATGATTTGTGTTGAAAAAGGAATAGTTACTGGCATGCATATTCATTTGAGGTATAAACAAATAATTTTGAGAAATAAAGGCTCGATTTTTCACAACACTGCATTTGTCTTGCATCAGATAATCTACAGTGATCCAGGTTCTTATGCCTGTACAAAATGAGGTGGAAATGTAGGTGTGAGATCCTTTTTCCTATCTCAGTCTCATGAAACAGCTTTATCAAGAGGTACAGAGAGGCCAAGTGGTTGCCCTGGTTGGTGCAGTCCATTGTGTTTGGCGGAGTTTACAAGACAGATTAATCTCGTTTTGAAGGAGGAAAATATCATTATTGCTTTGCACTTCTGCCTAGCTTATAAAAAGTATTGAATAGTTAGAGGGCAAAGCAGTGAGAGGTGATTTGTCTTGTCCTATAATACTTCAGTAGGAAAAGGGGGGGGATCTCAGGCTAATTATTCCTGTTTGTAACCCATTTCTTTGCCATCTCCTGGGAAACTGCAGACTAGAATGAGACTTCTAGAATATCCTGTGGCCTTGTAATTGCCTTTTATAAATCACCACATGCACCTTGTCTTTATAGAAGCCTATACATTGAAAGTATTAATGAATATCAGTTTCAATGCTCTGTTACTGAATGCAACTTTATTTTATTCAGAAATTGTCATGCTAGTAAGACAAGGCAATGTGGTAAATTTAGGTGAGCAATCTTTTATTAAACTTAATGACAAATCATGTTCTGTGTCCATGATTTTGAAAGAAGTACTGCAAAACAATCCTTTCTGTTGAGAATTTGTTTTATTTCAGGTGTTATTTTCAGTGCCTCCATTTGGTGTCTCTAAAGATAAGCAGTTTTACAGTATTTGGTCTTAGAAGCCTGGCCAAGTTTGCAGCTGTCTCAAAAGAATCCTAATTATAAAGCCTGTGTTGAATTTCTCTTTGCAGGTTTGCAGCAGGAGCTTGATCAATATTGAGATTTTTGTTTTTTCACTTCTCCTAATTTGCCATTTTATATGCTGCTGTGTAAGCCTTGATTCATTAAAAGTTTAGAAATACAGAAGTAGCATTTCTATTATGAGTGAAGTAGTGCTATGAATATATTCAACCCATAGAAGAGTTTTCCCTTCCTGGGTGCAGATCTTACTCCCAGTCTCAAGTTAACCAACACCCTGCAGTCCTTCCTCCTCATCTCTGCCCTGCCATGTCCAAGACTGCAATGGGACACCCACTGCACCCTGCTAGAGAGCAAAGCACAGTAATATTTTGCTCAAAAGGGGTGTTGTGTTGGCACAATATCCTGATTTACGTTGCTGTGTCCCATTTTCCTAAGATGCAGCCTCAGGCTTGTCATCCTCTTCTCCTTAGCTCTGATTTTCCTTGCCTTACTCTGCTTCTTACGCCTTGGGCTGGCAAAAGGCTGGTACAAACACTGAGAACTGTGGTCATGCTCTGTCTAGGCCCTGACCTAATGTCTGAGTAAGGAAAGCTTTAGGAATGTCAGCCAGATTTGTGGCTAAGAGTTAAAAGGGGAGGGGGGGGGCGTGAATGGATCATCCTTGACCTCTACCTAGCTTTTGTTCATCTGAACACCTTCATCATCTCTTAGCCTGTGGATCTTAAGTGCTTTGGTCTATAAAGAAAACCTGTGACTCTTAAGCCTCTAAAACAGAGCAATGTTTCAAATAAAAGCTCCACCAGACGTTTTGAACAACCATTGACTATGGTCATTTTAGAGCTGATAGAGTGAGGTATGCTGCTTCTAGTCATCTCTCAGTCTGATAATTGACCCTTTTTCTGGCACTTTTGCTTCTTATCTGTTGATCTATTTCCAATCTGTTTTGGCTAGCAAACAGAAACATGTAGCTGATACTGCAGCAGCTGTTTCTGTAATAGCTGAGAGATTTTATGAGAAGCCTTTGGAAAGTCTAGACTGTATCCAGTCTTTGACAGTTAGCAGCTGTTTTGTGTCTTGCATGAGGTTTAATAAAATAGGCAGGCACTGGATATTGCTGTGTGGTCCAGCTCTTACTCTGCTTATCTTTGTTAGTTGCTAATTGAGTTTAATTTGCTGTTTACATATATATTGCTTTATTCCTCTTGTAAGGGAAAGCAGAAAGCATCTTAATTATTTAAAGAATTACTATAGCAGTGGCTACACAGAAGTTTTTTTCCCTGTCTATACTGGCATAAACTGCTGAGTTTAGAAGCTTGTTCAGATGAGGTAGGATTCCTAAACCTCAGTAGTTTGCTTTTCCAATCCCTAAGACAAATGCAACTCAAGAAATGCATCTTACAGTCATGGATTTTATTGGTTCTTGAAGAATAGCAACTTGCAGCAACTTTTTAGCTGGAAATCCAAGTAGATGTTATTTATAACTGCATGCCAAGTTTTGTTGGTTTGTACCATTTAAA